CCTGAGTAATTTTTCATAATCCAGTTCCAGTGATTCTAGGTCGACGACTTTAGGATTAGATATAGGCGTCCGAGCACTGGCAGGGTTTTGAGCTTTATCTTCATGATATACTTCAGAAACTGATACATTTTTGAGTTTATCGAGAATTTTTTTGCAAGTGGGTCGAATAGCTTGTTAAAATTAAATATTATTTTATTTAATTTATTATATTTATCAATAAATAAAGTAATAAATGATAAATTAATTTGAATTTTACCTGGTTCATTGTCCCAGCAGTTACTGTAAAGGTCAATGAATTTACGTGGTGTTCCATTTACAGGCGTCTCACGTAAACCTTTAATAATATCAATTGCCAATTTAACTTTAACTGAAACTGAATTATTTTGAAAGAAAGGCTCTAAACCATCACTCGAAATCTCCCACATTAGAACGCCCAAGGAATAAATATTTAGTTTTATTGTTTTATTTTCAATATCATTAGACAATAAAATTTCAGGTGGTGAATAAGAAAAACTGACGCTTTTGCTTTGGGGTAACCAGACGTTAGTTAATTTAGGAATCCCCTCGTGTATAACTATATTTTTTGGGTGCTAAGGATTTAAATAAATTAATTTTGGCCAAAATTACAAGCATAATAATGTATTTAAATTCTTTACCAGCTCTGAGTGTATGATATTTTGATCATGAAGATACTTCAGGCCTTCAACTACTTGCTGAGTCAACTTTAATTTATCGCTCCAGCTTAGAGGAGTACCATTATCACGCAGGTGACTAAGATAAGATCGTAATTCAGTGGTATAATAGCCACGGACAAAATAATAATTGTAGCCATCTAATATAAAGAATTAATTTTGTTCATGAGCCGAAATAAAAGTCAATTTGAAATAGATGTTTTATGCGGGCAGGAAACAGATATTTAGTTAAAACAGGCCATAGAGAAGAAATATCTCATATTATATGTAAAACTTCATCCTCGAAATTTTTTATTAGTGTCTCAATGTCAGTATAGATGCCCGTTTTCTATAATTTCGTCTTTCGGATTTATGCAGGACTTAACCGAAAAGTCCAAAATTTTATTACTTGCGTTAATTTCATTAAAAATTAATATCTGTGTTTGTTCTTTTGAGTTCTGGTTCAAAGTAACGTATTCCAAATGATGTTATTTAATAACTATGTGATATTTAATGACAAATATTCTGCACCCATATAAAACATCTATTTATCTCTACAATGATTTAAATGCACAAACCAAAAGCAAGGTTAAAAACTTCTAGCACGTTATTATGTTTAAATGGTTTGAGCTAAAAATAAAAATGAGTTAGATTTTAATAACGTCTTTCAATGCGTAGGTACGTACGCACTTACCTCGTTTAATATCATCGTAACGACATTATTATCACATCTGTAATTTTCCAATAAGCATAAGCTTACTATCTTATTGTCCCATAATCTTTTCCTATTAGGTCCGTCAGGTTCGTTTTTTGGTCTTTTGAACTCATCATATCCTTTCAATTTGATTGTTTCTTCATCTCCTAATCTTTTTATATACTGGTATAGCGTTAGAAAATTTTGTGGCATATTGATATAACAATGTACGTAAGTCAAAATCTGTGAGAATAAATGCGTTATTATTATAGAGTTTTAAAATAATTACGCTCCGAGACCCCATTTTTTTAGGGGTTTAATTTTAAAACATTCAAATTTAAATATCTCCGGCATAAATTATCATAAACCTGGTTAGCAATACGATAAGATCATAATTTTACGATTCTGTGATCATAATTTATAAACCCTAAATCTAATTAAATTAAAGGGATTTTGAAAAAGTTCAAATT